TTTCATATAAATCCATTTTATTAGGGATTAATATTTATTAGGGACTACTCTTAGGGAAAGAATAACTTAAGTGAAAGCCTATAAGATACGTCAAGTACCTTATTTTTACTCTGATCCTCTATTAATTCTGTAACTGACAAACATGTAACAGGTAGTTTGGCGGTATTTTATTTATTTATACACTTTATTGCATCATGTTTATATACAGACAGAGAAGTATTGATTTAAAAGATGTATATAAATATATTATATTATTAGATATTGATGTACGTATATTATATAAAACAATAACGGAAATCGGTGAATGTTCATTAGTTCATCCAAGGTGAACACTTCTACAAACGATACAATTATCTATTCTTCAATTCCGGTTCCTTATTATACCATTAGAAATAGCTATAGCTACCTTTTGTTTTGTATTAGATCCATTGGTTACCCAATTTTATATACAATACTTTAGTATCCACAACTTAGAGTTAGGTATAAATATCTCTTTATCTATACTAATATCATAAAGAGGTAAAGTTTGTGTGTTTGGGATAATTTCCAATAATACTGATTCACCTTTGCAAAATCCTTTTTGTGTTGGGTACCTAGCCTAATTATCAACGAAGGCTGTACGGTTATACTAAGCGAGGAGCGGAAGTGGGGTGAAAAATGTTGCTAAAACGGGAAAAAATTGACAGACTTTGAACTTACAAACTAATTAAGATTGTACTAATTTAATAGTAACACAGTGAAAGAAATTTCGATTAACTGTTAAATAAGGGTACCACCCATTAAAGTAAATTAATTACTGGTTTAAACAGAAACACGAATCTGTGTTTAACGGATCCAATAAAATAATACTTCTTCACTTCCTTTTATCCACTAGTGTTTAATAATCAAGTAATTTCCAAAATAAAAAAGAATAAAACTTTTGTTATAATAATTTTCAAATTTCGAATTTCGAATCATTACGTAAATAAAAAGTAAAATATACTTAGATGGCCAAGGAGGTTTTATAATCATACTTAATCAATCTGCTTTATTGTTTTTCAGAAGAGCAGTGCAATCTCTAACAACGGAGATATAATCGTCATTCCTTAGAGCGCCACAATTGTTTACTAGCACCATTAATGAAATAATAAAAATTTTATTTCTATTGCACTTGTACCCATGGTCGATTTAACAATAACATTTTACAAGAAACTCGTTAACGAATTTAATTATGCTGGTACTGGATAGCTAACAAGCTTTTCGCGTTATAGAAATCCGTCATGTCTAGCTAATTATTATTTAAGCTGAATTAGCAGCACAATGCAGCCTTTGTGAAACTGGCGCCCAACGTGGGCCAGCGGCGCATTAAATTTTAAGTTCGCATTTAAGTCTCGACGCTGCTTTATAAACCATTTACACGTTGCTTTGGCAACATACTTGTAGTAGTCTATAAACTCGACTGAAAATTCATAATTAATCTGTATTCCAAACGACGATGTAAAAATTGTGATGAAATATTGAGGTGCTTGCATCTGTATGTTGCATTGTAGGTCCTTAACTAATTGGCCAATTATGCGGTTTTTTGTTTGAAAGCTGATATGATCAGAATAGTTCTTTGCTACAAGTTGTTTGGGTATTCCATATTTTTTATGGCGTTATAAGTGGACATTACATATAAACGAGTATATCAGTTATTATTGTTGAAAAATGTTTTACTGCTACATCAGTTTATTGTTTATTTTGTTATTTTTACTTCAGAACACGTATAATTCTAACAAATAATATGCATGTGTTTCTTAATTATACGTACAGAATCCCTAAATTGAACTTGCCACAAATTGCTAATCCTAAAATCCTATATATCCTATATATAATCCGACGGCTTACAGATGTATTAATAAGTCAATGTACGTAACTATAAAGAGAGATATTCCCTAATATATTAATAAGAATTTAACATTGTCCTGTTATTAACAGATTTTGCGAACTAGGTGTAATAATAAAAATTGCATTGAAATGTTTTCAATGACGTATACAGACCTTAATGCTTGACAATTGACAACTAGTGTAGTAACCCGTGCCTCTAATTGCATATACAACACTCTTTTTATCTCACGCTCCGCTGAACAAAATGTTCGCACAATGATTAATAGCAGTCAACAATTTTTGCTATAGATACAATACTGGTGCGATAATGTGTCATCCTACAATGTCATCCTATAATTTTATTACACCACTAACGCCCTTCCCTTGCTTTTTACGAAATAAGATATTTTCCTGTATTAAAATGGGCCTATATTTTAAAAGAAATCCTAAGTAATACGTAATAAAAACTGAATTTAATTCATTTCAGTAGTTTTTGTATGATACGTGTACTGTGATTGACGTACCTTTTTAAATAATAGTTGTTTTATTATTTGATATAGAAAAATGTTATATTGATTTTCCTATTCTTCCGTTGTCTGCTTTACTTTTGATGCGTACAATTATATTATTCCTTCTTAAAAACTTTTTATATTTATATTTACCAGTCTAATACATAACCTTCGCTCACATGTATAATCACGTAGATAGACAAAGATAAAAATAAATGTTTTTGTACCTGTTGCTCTAATAAAGACTATAGCATATATAAAATATTAGTGGTATTTCAATACCTATAATGTACATATGTCAACCGGCCTGTTACAATTTCATTACTGTGTCTTCCTCTGGTATTTAAATGTAGATACATGTTGTTTAGTTTGTACTAAGTTGTTTTAATTGTCTCATACATCTAGTTGGTTTACAATTGTGTTGTGGGGAAAAGACTTCAAGAGTAGTAGTAAAGTAAAAGTTGCTGGGTAGAAACACGCGGGAAAGCCGTAACATGAATATACGCGTACCTACTCCTAAACATCTGTGTATAATACACAGTTTACTATAGTTTTAGTTTTTACAAAGCAGTAAACATACATTGTATCTAATGTTGTATTTTTTACATAAAATTTATATTATTATACTATTTTAATTTCTTAAGGTACAAATTATAATAATGAACTGGTGAAGTAATAAAATATTTTGTCTAACTTTATCAAAGAATTTTGTATACATAATGAGAGTATGTAGTTACAGATCTATTTTCTATCTCTATATGATTCTTTAGACAAGACGCAGAATACGTAATCAAACCTATGTCATCATTGCTTTGCCCTGATCTCATTATTTCGTTTATCATCATCATTATCTCGTCTTTCATTGATCTCTATCAAACCTATAGCGATTTTTTTATGATTTATGTTGGTATGTAACATAAATCATAAAAAAAATCGCTTGTTAACGGCATGCGATAAAGCGAGACATCTGAGTTGCGAACTCTACTAATGCGGAAATAACGTAACTTTTCCCAAACAAGAATTGTAATATGTCACACAAACCGCGCGGTCATGCAATTAATGTAGTGGGAAATGTTCTACATTTGTTTTCATATTTTATTCCATTTTCGTTGGAGAAATAATGTTTATCTCACGCACAGATGTGCATTGTAATAGATGTCGCAATTGCGTGTTATTTTTACAATCTTTTTCCTGTACGTGTACCGTAACATTAATTTTTCATTCATTCAAATCCGTTTAGTCAATCTGTTGTTTCAATACACGTAAATCTATATTCGGACTCTCAAATCATACATATATACTTATTTTTGTATGTATTTAATACTATCAATTAGGTAGTAAGTAGAAATACAAAAAAATTACACACAGGCATTAAATTTTTGGTATAGGCATATATGTGTTAGTGCTTATAGTCAAGCATTGACTGATATGTGTTTATGTTTGAATTTGAACTATTGAATTAAAAAAATTAAGTAAATTTTGGCGTATCGACGAGTATTAGTACTATTCGTAAATATGCATTTCATTGCACAATTTAAAGCTAGCTTTCTTATCGTTAATTCTTCTATCACTAACACATCTGGTCTTAATTTGTTTAGACATGTTTGTATTAACGTTTTAATAAATTTCAATAAAAGTATTTAAAATGTAAAAATGTACGATAAGGATCTTTTTGTATAATTTCTATTTAACTGAAATGGTAAATAAACCGACGAGTCACCTCTTGGCTAGTGGTAAGCTTTGTAATACATGGACAGCACGGGCATCCTTACATAAATTGATGTTTTTCCGGAAAACCAAAAGTGTATGTTTCTATACCTTGTAAACTGACTGTCATGTCGTCTAACTGAACAACACTTTGCAAAACTGCTTGGCGGTTGAAATACGAACAGACAAAAAGTACGACAAAGGTACCCATGCAAACGGCTTTGTACAAAGTCTAGCACCGAGTAACTAGAAATAAATAAGTACGAGTGGTTTAAATTTAACATTGTTACAATTTTTTACTTTTTACTGTCCATTGCCCCGTTTGATAGCAGTGGAGCTCTATAATAAATGTAATTTGTGCGGAAATTACCTAAAATTAGTTTGTTAAAATTTAATTTTGTTTTACCTACCATTCTGCCATTTATAGAGGTAAAACTGTCTAAAGTAATTTAATTTATTTTTGTACTTTTTTACAATAAAGTTTTTTATTACTATTCTAATGCTGAAGAAAATGGTAGCAAGACTTATGGTGCGGCTTAATGCTAACAAGAGACAGCAAGTGATTCAAACCTTGTCCCGGGCCATCAAAATGTGTCAATCATAGAGTTAGTTGTTAATGAAGTCACTATGATGAAGTATAACGTTCACATATGTATTATTGCTTATGTTAGGATTTTGCGTATTGTTTTCTGAATTATTGAAAATTTATTTCATATGAAATGTTTTTTTATGTAACTGGTATGGCATTCAAGTTGATACCTAAACAAGAAAGCCACCTTATAAAATGAGCAACCATGGTCTCACTGATATTTGCCGTAGTTCGTCGTCGTAAGGACGAACCTGTTATGTCCCGTACCTTGTATTTTCAATATGCCACAAACGTATATAACATAGAACTTATTATTATATACGTAATAATGTTATACAACAACAACGTACCTGAAACTACTGCATGGATGTATGACCCAATGACCCGCCGCTTTCTGTCTGATTCGCTCCTTCATGAGAGCCTTTTTGGAACCGAAGAGCTTCATGGCGAGTTTGTTGTCGGTGGGCTGGAAGAGGGCTTGTAGCTGGTTGCGGAGGAAGCCTTGCTTGGCGTCGGGAGCCGGCAGCGCGGGCTCCACTGGCGTGCCGTACAGGGAGACATCGTCCAGACCACCGAAGTGGACCTTGCCGGTGCCGCTGCCCTGCTTTAGCGACATATCGGCGTCGCCTGGAAAGATAAATTAATAATAAATAAATAATAAGAATAATTATATATAACAGAACATTAAGATGTATATTATATTGGTCAGATTGTTGAGTCTACAAAAAATTATATATATGAAATATATGTCCTCTTTATATCTACCTAGTGATTATTTAAATTACTAAAACATATAGGTAATTATATTATTAACACTTTTAGAGTACTTCAAAGAATATATATGGACAATAATAAACACATATCTTAAACAAGACGTAGTAAATGTAGGGAAAAACAAATAATTGCTTCTATTTTGACCATCTGGACAATTTATTTATTTATTTTAGAAAGATTTACATCCTAGCATCTTAAAATTAGGATAGCTCACCACCTTACTACCAACAGTGCAAAAAAGTGGGAGAAAGATTTACATAGACTAGAAACAATAACGGTAAAAGTAACATGGTCCTTCTTAATCTCAAATGTTACGTACCTATATATATGCTAGATTTGATTATGATTGATTCATAATAAACTTGAATTACACATTTATAATATCAACAATATGAATTAGAATTAGTAGTATCAATCACATTACCAGTATTTGAGTAAAGTTCAAAAATGTTACGTTCGGTCAATCAAATCCAGATCAACATCAGTCAATATTATTCGAACCTTTCTTTGAGAATTCAATTGAGTAAAATAACATTATGTACTCTGGTAATTTAACAAACTCGCTGAAATGTAGCTACGTGAGAAGATCAATGTGATACGACCTACCGACAATAGGGTCCAGGGTCAACAATGTATGGGGCAGTACGGTTGTGCTAAAATCAATAGATTTGAGAGCATTCAACGAAAATCACAATGGCGATGTCATGGCGTAACGCCGGGTACGGTGACCAAGGTAAATAATGTAGATTACAGACGATTTTAAGAAAAAGTTTAATAAATGCGAATGCATTTTTGTGAGTGCATGTTAAACTATAACTTCACTAAGAATGATTCATTAATATCAATTATTTTTTACAATTTATACTTTGTTGGTCGGCTACAAATGTTATCAAGATTCGTAGTCTGTTTTTTTTTGTAGTACAAAATGTATATAATAAAAATAAATGATAATGGAATGACTCATTCATTGCCTCATTACCGGTCGAACTATAATCTCTTTCATTTGTGTACCTACATAATATTAATGATCGGTCACACGATAGGAATAAAATTTATTTTTACAGTTATAAATATATATATTTATGTAATTGAGTATGTATTTCATTAAAAACTAACTGATCCCAACAACCGTCCCTTTTCCTCGTTTTTAGCAACATTTTTCATTAAAACTCGGCTCTTATTTTTTTTTAGTTTCTTATTGGTTATAATTTGATATTATATATAGGTACATATAACTTTTTCTGGACTAATGAGCTAATACACACTAAAAGAAATTTTAAAACAAAATTAGTAGTACCGAAGATACTCCGGACATTTAAATTTACAAAGTTTATCTCTTTACAACAGTAGTATAATACTATTGTTGATATTCCATTGTACCATTTCAAAGCAATAACATGATTCATATGTATAATTTATAATCAGCCATTATAATTTGTCAACAATAGAAGCAATGAAAGTTTGTTGGTTGTAACTGGATATCAATATAGTATAGATAGTACAGTCCACTTGTGGGAATCTTTTAAGGGATATATAGAAGTAGAGAACACAGAGTAATAATATGCTTATACTTACATATAGATATATGTGTACATATAAATGTGTCATATTTAAAAATAGAACGCAACATTGACACCAAGTTTCTTACAGCACAATGTTCAAAACATTACGCATAGATAAGGCAAAATTTAATTTTATTATATAATTATTATAGAGAATAGTAATTGATGAACATTGCAATTGGAGACGTGTTTTGACTGCTTTGAAAACTTTGCAAAAAATATTAACTCACATAAATAATAATAATTAATATTGGAATTTATAATCAAATATAACTATTTATATATGTATAATATTCTTATCGCAATTTATTATACATGCAGTAAATATCATCAATATACCTACTTATATAAAAGAAATTTCATCGAGATTTCTTTTTTATTTATTTTGGCGAATAAATGTCTGTACACGTTCAGAATTAGATCTATACACACTGTTTTAAACTTTTTCCACGGTTGTTTACAATTGTATACTTCATATAAACGGGATATTAATCGTGATAATGTTATTTAAGAGCTACCGATATTTCGACCCTGTTACAAAAGTCTTGTGTGACGATATCATATGTTCACTATAAATATTGAGGAAATGAAAAAGAATGATTGTACATATTATATAACATGGTATTTACCATGATTACGTTTTTATGACCTCTCTGTATTGTGACCCTGTTAAAAGCTTGTTATATTATCTATAAAAAAGAGAAACTAAATGCCTAGCGTATGAGAAACTTCGAAATTATTTTGTAAACATGTGGCAATGTGTTGCTAATTCAATAGACTGTCTAACTAATGCGACAGGCATTAGATAGAATAATTGAATCTTAATAATATTAAAACGCAAAAGTTGGTTAGAACAGATGGCTATTTTGTACACAATAACTATTGCATATATTCGATTGAAATTTGGTACATAGGCAGACTATATCATAAATCAGAACATATGATACTTTTTACCCGAATTCACGCGGGTAACATTGCGGGATATACCCAGTAGTTTGTTAAATGTTCAATCCGCTCCTTGTAAAAAACGAAGGAGATATTTAAGAACGAGATATATAAAAAACGAATGAGGTATGCTGCAACGAATACAGCATAGCTTAGATTGTCATATGGAGACGTATGCACGAATATCTCCAGTACCTACGTCTGTTCAGCTGATAAAACATACGATTAAACAATGAGCCAATGGCACTTCATTGATTCAAGTGGCGTCAACACTGTAACTGGAGACCGCCAATCAACCGTGCGTATATCATAACTTCTAATAGCAAAATCGTCGGAAACACAAGCAATTTTCGTTTCTAGTTCTTTAGCTTTGTCGTTTGACTCACAGATAGCGTGTGGGTAATATTACTATTACCCTGGACCATTCATACAGCGCCATCTAGTCGCATTTTAATGTCAGTTTGTGCATTTTTAATACAACTATGTAGCCGAAAAAATTAAGCCAAAGTTTGTCGCGAATGATATACGAGTACAACATACAGTATGATTATTTATTAGGCATTATGCTTATGTTCTTCACTGAATATTATTCTAAATTAGAGCTTGTGCTATGTGTATTCAATAATTGATAAATATAATTACAGACATTATTTAGAGAATATGATGATGTGCATAAAAAACTATCCAGATACATACAGATAAAGTTATAAATAATAAAATTATTTAAAATTACTAGAATACAGACTATAAAGACCACAGACTGTATGGGAATGAAAATGCTGTCAACCTTAAATATGCTATATGTATATAGTTATTATTATTATTACATGTATTCTTATAAAGTTTATGGCCTACATGGAATAACAACGATGTGATAGTAAGCTATCACAACATGTACTGAGTGAGCGATATTGCCAATTAATAACGTACTTACGTTATTTTTATTGTAATTTTATAAATTCATGCTTTCTATAATATAAAAATTTACTGAAAATATTAATTTTTCAACGGGAATGGCAAGCAAGCTGACAGCTAACTTGAGGGTAACAGTAACGATTATATACATGAACAGCACATCACGTTATCATGTGATATCTATGGTACCACTTATAAAGACGAAGACTAAGATACATTCATATCCAATAATTTCACTGCCTTCTTTTTTTTCATTTCATAATAGTACCGGTTAAATACACTTCAAAGTTAGTAAAATCGGAGCCCATTTAATTGGGTGGTGAATTATAATTTTTAATTTAACTGACATCTGTAACCAGTCTATTATCTTAAATTCAAAGTCTCAGATATTCCTTCTGAGATATTATTAATTTAACAACCTTAGTATTGAGCAACTTTAATTAAACGTCAAGTTGCAAAGACATGAAGTAATTTCATAAACGAATAAGTACTGTAAGAAGTTTTAAAATCATCAAAAATGTATATTATATAGTATATTTATAAATAAATTTCACTCTATAAATATCTTAGATATTTATATACTTGCATTTTCTTTAAAGGTTTTTTGTATCTTTAAATCGAATTAATCAAGTAATTTGTTCTCATATGCTCACATTTTTTTAGAATGATTGGAGTCATATTAGTTAATATGCAATAACTAGGACATTGCACCTAATATTGGAACATGACACGTTTTAATATTAATCCATATCATTCAAAATATATATAATATGATATTCATTACTTTGGATGAAAATAAGAGAGTCAGCATCAATAACCGTTAACCTAAACTATCACTTTACTACACTTACAATGTATATACATACCTATAAAATAAAAAAAAAATTGACGGCTATTGATAAATTAAAATATGAGTCAATTAGATTTTGATAATAACAGAATAATATTTAAAAAAAATAGTGAAGAACCACAAATATTGACATCGACAGAAAATCCGTAATTTATGAATAAAAAACTATGGACTTATCTAGAAAAACAAATCAAGAAAAAATGTATAGAATACTTTAATAATACAGTCGAAATTTGATCTGATGAAATTAAACTAGCACCGATCTGAAGAAGTTTAAAATAAGAATGCAATCTAGCCTAAACACGTATCTACAATGTCAATCTGAAAGATTTTTTTTCGTTTTAATATTCTATGCACAATCTAGCGGAAACCACAGTAAGACCTATTGCATAATTGTTGAATGAAGAAAAGATAAATAATATATTGTGAAACAAATGGAAAACAATTATTATTTCAGCGGAGTCATTAATTTATCACTTCTGTACCTCAGTTTTCCTTACAAACAATACTTGCTATTAATAATAACATCACTGTTATTGTTACGGCAAACTTTTAATTAAACCTTAGTCATGGATTTTGTA